CAAGGACCCCTCCCCTGTGACTCCTGGAGCCCTCTTGAGGCACATGTGCATCTCCAAGACCAGCCCCAAGCGGCCACAGCGACCAGGTCCTGAGACCCGGGTGCAGAGAACGGAGCCATCGAGTGGCCTTKAATCTTCGATGCACAAACAGGAGGTTGGGAAACTCCAAGGTCCAGCACCAAACGGTCTCCGCGTCACCCTGAGGCTCCACCTCTGAGCTCAGCATGACCCCAACCCCGGGGTCCCTTTGGCCCTGAGCCCCACTGTGACTTCCCACCCTGCGTCACCTCCCAAGGGACCTTGACATTATACAAACATCCTCAGCTTCAAAGGTCACCTTGAGACGGCATCGTGACATGGAAGGAGTGTCTGCTCCCAGCTCCCGAGGAGGAGGCTCAGAAAGGAGGCCAGGAAGCCCCCCGCAGCGCACCCYAGTTCCTTTCCAACCAGATCCTGCAGAGACGCGGGTGGCACACACAGGGGGGTTGGTGACACGCTCTCAGGTCCACAGGTGCCATTTGTCCCTCTACAGCAGCTTCATCTTTTGGAGCATTTCGCTTAATTTTATGGAAAAGTCTCTTTTTTTTTTTTTTTTTTTTTTGCTTTTCTCACCTTTTTTCCTCCCTCTCGACGTTGTCACTCATATTGACAAACGTGCAGAGCCAGGGTGACTGTGCACAATTTCCAGAGGACGCAGCCAGCCCCGGCCCTCTGCTGGGGACTCAGCCCGGGGCACCCGTTGCTAATGGAGGGACAGGGCTCGAGGGCGCATTGGGAGTCGGTGCCCTTGGCCGGGGGCAGAGGCTGGGCATCGGGCACTTTGAAGCTGAGCGATGACGACGGATATCTGGGTGTGAAAGTCACTGAATGCATTTCCAAGGGCCTGGCAGCCACGGCGCTGCTGTTAGAGTGGAAGGAATTTGACGGGGCCGTGGGGAGGGGAGAAGCCACCGCAGCTGGGGATGAAAACTGGAGCCGGGGCCGCAAAGTCCCGAGCGTCCTCCGGGCTGCTGTGCTAACTCGCAGTTAATGAAAGTGGCATTTCGGCTTCTGGGTTTGATTGATGTAAATGTGACATCTCGGATTATGCTGAAGGAGAACCTCAGGCAGCCRTCAGGGATGCGCTCCGTCAGGAGGGGAGACTCGCGGTTGGCACCGGGGCTGTGGGCGCAGGCGGGGCCCTGTCTAGCTCTCTGGGCTCCTCAAGGCCACGAGGACCGAGGGAACAAAGTCTGCAGTGGGTCTTACTGAGCTAAAATCCAGCAATCGCAGCCAGGTCCCCTGTGGAGGCTCCAGGGTGGAGGCCATTCATGTCCTCACCCCGAGTCCGGAGGCTGAGCCCCCCCCCCTTTTTTTGGTACCAGGGACTGAACTCAGGGACCCTCGACCCCTGARCCCCGTCCCCAGCCCTATTTTGCATTTTATTCAGAGACAGGGTCTCCCTGAGCTGCTGAGGCCCTCGCTTTGGCGGAGGCTGGCTTTGAACATGCGAGCCTCCTGCCTCAGCCTCCCGAGATTCTGGGATGACAGGTGTGTGCCACCCCCAGCTGGAGTCCGAGTTCTTTAAATCCACTGTGTCCATGGACGGAGCCTCGGGCACCATGGGGAGCAGGGAGCACCCGAGTGGGTGGTAGTGAGTGGGGTTCACACTGAGTGCTGGGGGCTGCAGCCCGAGGGCGGCCGGGGACAAGGACAGGGGCGTTCCTGGGGTGTGCGCTCCTCCWGTGGCTGTAACGTCACCTCCAGGGGAGGAGTCCTGCAGGAGAAGGTCCCCTCAGCACCCTCCAGCCCTGAGCATGTGGGTCGGGGGGTGAGAGAGACAGAGACGGAGATGAGAGACGAGGGGAGGAGAGATGTGAGAGACGCAGGGGACGGGGAGAAGGTGACAGAGATAAGGCGGAGGGAGGAAGAGAGAGCAGGGTCAGTACAGGAAAACCAGGGACCACCCAGCTGAAGTGGATTAATCCACTGACCAGGGTCTGTCATCTATCCATTCTATTATCTATCTATTGTCTATCGTCTACCTATCCTGTCTATCTGTCCATCCATCTCTCTGTCATCTACCCATCCTGTCTATCTACCTGTCAATCATCTATCTCTCTGTCATCTACCAATTCTGTCCATCTATCCCTCTGTCATCGACCCATCCTGTCTGTCCAGGGGGCTCTCCCACCCTGGGTGGGGCTGCTCCTGGCTCCTGGTGTGTGGGGCCCAGAGAGGCTGCTCCAGCTCCTGCAGCGCACAGCACAGCCCACCCCAGAGCACCCCCAGCCCCAGAGGCCCAAGCTGAGCAGGACACCAGTGACACCTGCCRTAACCCTCGCACACACAGGAGAGCCTGCCCTCGCGTGCCTGTCCTGGCCGCTGTTTGGTTACGGATCCTGGTCACGCAGCGAGGTCCCCAGCGCCCCAGGCTCAGCCAAAAGGAAACGCTGTGTCGTGGGTGACGGCTCGGGCTCCTTTCATCCTGYAGAACGGGTTTATGACTGACTCTGGCAATTCCCCCTGTGGTCTCCTCGGAGGGCTTAGATTCTAAGGGACTGACTGCCTTCGTCACTTGGTGAAAAAAAAAAAATATTCTCTTTTCCCCCCACGGAAAGAATTTCCAAAACAGGCAGAAAAAAAAAAAAATGCTGGATCCGTTGATTTGCATTTTCAAAGTGGCTCTCGACAAAGATCCTTCCCTCGGAGCTGGGAGCTGGGTTTTGCAGGGACTTTGGGGCTTTCGCAAGAGCCCAGCGTGAGGTCCTGCAGGCGGCTGCCTTTGAAAGCCAAAGGTCGAATGGAAAACGCGGTTGGTATTCAAGTCTGCAACCTGAGCGACTGTGAGGCCACCCCAGGGAAAGGGGAAGGTCCGGCTTCCAATCAGGAAAGCGTCTGGGATTATTCGTCCCCAGCAGTCACAGGGGCTTGGCTCCAGGTTCCCTGGTGGACAGCAACATCCCTGGGCACGCAGACGTCAACGCCCTGTGACCTCCGTGCGTCCMCCTGTGTACCTGAGGAGGCCAGTCACCTGGTGGGCAGTCGGCCTGGCCGCTCAGGAGCTTCCCGTTGGACCTGCAGGGTCACCGAGAACGGGAACGCGTGTGGGGCCCCACAAGGAACCTGTGGTCTCAGGGACAGGCACTGGGGGCTGATGGGGGTGTGGCACACTCTGACCCTTGGAGTCTTTATCGACTATCCTGAAGGTGACCCCTTGTCTGCAGCGGGCAGGCACAGAGGCCTGCAAATTCCCCGACACGGGATAACTTGTCCCCGGGGTGCACAGCAGCATCGTTTATTTTTGGGGACCAGGAATTGAACCCAGGGTCCCTGACCACTGAGCCACATCCGCAGCCCTTCTTATTTATTTATTTACTTATTAAATGTTGAGACAGGGTCTCGCGAAGTTGCTSCATAKGGCCTCCCGATGGAGCTGAGGCTGGCCTCCAATTTGCAATCCGGTCCTGCTGACCTCCCAGGAAGCCTGGGGGCACACGGGGTCTGTGTTGCCAGTGTCACTTGATGGGTGACCAATGGGACACAGGGATCTGGTGGCTTCTTTGCTCCACTCATGCAAAATGGGACGCTCTGCCAGCCTGGCCCCAGGGGTCCCTCCCTGGAGGACGAGTCCCAGCCACCTCCTGGAAGGACCTCGGAAGAGCCAACGTGGCAGATGCCCACCCCATGAGGACAAGATAAAGATGCCCTCCACGTGGAGCCGGCGTCCAGAGATGGTGGGTGGGTGGA